GATATATAGAAATAATACAATATATATCTACATTTCGTCCTTGAATATGCAGTGTTTATGTCTAAGTCTCGTGGCTCCTACCATGGTGTAATATATTTGCGTAATTCTCGCGGAAGTGAGATCACTGTGACTGACATAATGATTTGCGCATCACAAATAAACAAACCGCACACAGAATACTCTGAGTTATTGACTTTACAAAATGTTAGCTCATTTTTTAATGTTAAATTCATATTATTTACGTGTCTGGGAATAAATTTTCTTCTGACAGTTTCTTTAGATCTGTCAAAAATGTTAATAGAAACTTTATATTGTTTTCGTTATGAAGTCGATCGACGCCTACAATATTCTAATGAGCAAAAACATTGATCATCAATTCGTTTTCTATATAAAATATATACCATGTCGAAGCGAGAGAATCGTCTTCTAAAAATATTCGTTTTTGTATATTAGTTTATTATCTTTTAGTAATAATTTTTATAAGTGAAATAATTAAATAATGTTAGATATACATCAGGTGAATAGTTTTATTTGAAATACCACAATTATAAGATAGAATTTACAATGTAAAAGTCCAAACATAATCGTACTGAATTCGCTCTTAGGAGTCACTGTGGTAGAATCTTTGCTATACAATTCTTGACATTCACTGTAATAATTTGTTAGCAATAAACAAGTATCATTTTGAGTTAAGACTATCTTTGCTTCATAATTGAAACCTATCAATCGTCATCGTCAACGCTCAGACTCGAAAGCCTTTTAAGGAACTAGAGTCTTGGTTTCAAGTGCATCCCCTTACTCACACATATATTTACTTTTAACGAATACAAATTTAATTTGCCGTAGTTATAACAAATATGAAAAACTCATCAAACAGCTGATGTATGTGGTCTATGAGACGGATTACGTTGAGTAAATAACACAAACTTCCTTTTTTTTAATCTATTCACTCTTATAATGATTATAGAAATACATTAATTTAATATTATCAACATTTTGTCGTTTACTTAAAAACTCGTTTTTGTTACAGGAAAATATTGTTCAAATTACATATTTGAGTATTAATTTCATTACTCTGTTATTTGATTAATTTTGATATGTGTTATTCTTTATATTCAGCTTCAGTAGTAAATTCTAGTAATAGTGGTCTTTTATTAACAAACGATAATTTAAAAAGAAAAATGCTACAGTTCTGGATTTCCTTAAAGATATAGTCAGTATTTCTGACGTCATATTTAAAAACGGGAAATAGTATTTAATCCTACTTCTGTATAAAACTAACTCATTAGTCTTAAGCATTGTATGTACTTAGTAATAAAGTAAGCTAGAGAAAAAAGCGCCTACAATAAACATCTCAATATAGTGCATATGACCAAAACATGAAAACATTATAGAAGGCGCATAATCCTCTTTAACTTACTAATATGTTTAAATACTGTGAAATACCTTAATTGTATGGTCTTTGAGGATGTTGATTTCCCAAAGAACCTTAAGGTCTATTATCACAACGCATTTTAAAATTCGTGAATACAGAAATTTGTCTGGTCTGGATGCCATCGCACAGATATCTTCTCTGATATTATTTTGTTTTTTATACGTATCTAACATTATAGTCCAATAGATAGATAGAGTAAGGCTTAACGTTAAATTTTATAGCCCTAGTGCCTCCTCTCACAAAACCTATTTATTGCTCATTTGTGGTTATTTCTGTCTTCACTGTGGCTACCGAAAGACTAACCGCATCACGTCTGATTTTTAGAATTTAGCAGTGCTTGCAACTATGATTTAAGGTGCGCTTTTTTAATGCTAGTGGGATACAAAAATCTCCTGTCTAACCACTCGTTCTGCATTTCTAACCTCATTACATGGATATTATATTTATCATTCTTGTCTTGTCGAAAAAAGACTAATATATCCGTATCTTGGACTTTTTACCTGATTCCAACCCTACTTGTTACTTTTTTGATGTGTAATTTTCATACATTAAAATAAAAGCGATATGTTATTACATTTTTATGTATTTAAAATATACAAATACTGATAATCAAAATGAATGGAATGGAAGTTTAGTAGAAACCCTTATGTATTAGATAATTACAAACTTTTGAAATGGCAACGCTTGGGGTCATTTTATCATTGTAATACAAACAAAGTACTTGGTAGTTACTTTTAAAGACAAAACATGCGATCTGGCTACTACATATATTATTTAGTCACTTCTATTTATCAAATGTTATATCATTCACTCACTTATATTACGGAAATCAGATCACAACTCTTTTTTGAAACTAGTAATTAATGAAAGCAAAACAGGTCGCAAAAATGAAAATCTAAATATAATTTAGAAAAACACAAAGCCTATTTTTTATAACTTCAACTATCTTAACAATGAAGACGCGAGAAAAATAGTTGAGCTTAAATATTATGGTGTGAATTATAAAACACTGAGCAGTTCATTACCCAGGACGTTATTGTCAGCGGCAAAAAATACCCACTATATAATTACTTATTATTTATTAGTCATATTCTATCAGCAATTCTAAATTGAGGGATTCATGCTAATTTGAACTTTATTGTTTTCAATATAAGGTATAAATGATGTTATAAGTTTCTTGATTAATCTACAAGATATCTTTTTATTATATCAAACTGTATTTATGGTCTATGGATCAAAAATTAAGATTGAATTATTTTTGTTTTTATAGACGTTCAATAGATGTTTTTCTTTGTTTACTTGAGAAATTTAGAATTGGTCCAAAATATATTATACCGCATATTTACCGAAGGAGTTTCTTACATGTGGTTAGGTGAACAAAAAGAGTAAAATAATTATTTAAAAGCGAGATGCAAGTGATATATATTTACATATATGCAAAAGTATTACTATTATTGTAAATGAAAATCGTACGCAATATAGGCATAATTACTATAGATAACATTCTTTATGTTTTTATTATACTCTTTTTTTAATTATATAAATTTATTATTTTGTCTTTAGTCCACAATGTCACGAGAAATTGGTGAGAAATTTTGTTGTGAGAAAATGATATTCTGTTGTTCGTGAGTATTTAGATCTTGAAAGATTTAAGTCCTGATTGTTGATTCAAAGTATAAAGTGAAGCGAAGATAATATTTTATTGATCATTTTAGGTTGCAATCTGGTTTTGCCAATACTTTTTTAATCTTTCAGTATAATATTCTCTACGAAAGCCTACAATATTTTTTTTTGTGTTACTCTAAAGTAATGTAAGTTTATTATATTCAGATTGATGGAGAAGTGTACATAGCTACATGGCTTTTAATGTTTTTTATTTGAATTGGTACATAAAATTATCGTGTAATTTAAAAATACTTTACAAATACGTTGCCACAAAAACAGCAGCTTTATGTATCGTAATCTTAAAGATGTTTGAAGATAGGAATAAAAAATAGGAAGCAAATTAAAATCGCATCATATTGAAAATTGTGCACAGATCATTCCCGGACTCTTGTTACTTATAATTTGACCAAAAAACTTACACAGCCTTGATATGTCAGATGTATCCAAAGATTTGTACTGCCTAGGAAGTTATGAGCGAACGTAATTAATGTGTATTTAGACAAACTGAGAACATCCCTGTTATATAAATGATCAAAATATGTTAAGATTTAAGATTAACAAGATGCTTCCAGTCCAAAAAAACTTTTAATAAAAGTAGACTATCAGTGTCCAATGTCTTTCTGCCAAAATAAAATAAATGAAGTTTTACTAATATTAATGAATAAAATTTATACATTTATTATCTTCTTCTACTTCTACCTGGCAATTTCCCAGCTATAACCAGGGTCTACCTTACATTGGTACTTGCCCGGGCCAGGATCGAACCCGCGCCTTCGGCGACGAGAGGCCGGGAGGCGGGCCCTTTAACCACTGAGCCACCACTGATTTTAAAATTTATACATTTATTATATTTAAATGAAACTAATATTTTGGATTATACTACGCGGCCTGATGAGATGTGATCACGGTTGCTGAAAAGTAACTGAAACGTCGGGAAAATGTAGTTTTTTAAAATACCCTTAGTATAATCCAAAAAATATGTAGGTATTTGTTTTATTTGAATGAATACTCGCGAAAGTCTTACATCTCATTATTTATTAAATTTATATACAAAGCTTCTACCAATGGAATTAATACATAATTTTATCACTTAATTTATAAAGGAATATAACACAATGTATGTATCTTTAATGAGTTTGTATCGGGCCACTGTATACTGAATATGGGAAAAACTATAATTTGAGGATTATACAGAAGAAAAAGAATCTAAGGTATTGGTTGGGAGAAATTTTGTAATAGTCTTTGTCTGTGTGTACCCAGTATTAAGTTTAAGACTAACGAAGTAAAGATTTGTGTACGTTTTCTACTTATGTTTTCTGGTAGGATTTAATAAATAAAATTCATCGTGTTTGATTTCCATGGGTTCAGAATAAAAAAGGCTATATATCATTCGGTATTAATATTAATATTAATCATCTCAGTAGCAAATAGTATTCTTCACTTTAAGTAATATATTAACAAAATTTTTATATGGAAAATTATAAGTGTAAGACATTCGGCTCCATTAAATTCTGATTGTGTATATAGTGTGGGAAGATAAAAACGAAGTGTTAAATTTCATTCTATTTATTCACACTTCATACATTGAAAAATTACAATTATTTTTTTATATAACACAAACGGTTATTCCTCTTCATATAACAAAATCATGTTGGAAGTTTTTACTACTATTACTATACCTTATACAATTAATACATTAATCATTACTATAAATACCTATTTCAATATAGTCTAAACATGTTCATTTGGCTAAATTAATATTTTATGGTAGTCTGTTTGAGTTTCTTGATAAAACACAACAAAAATATAGTTTATAATGTTTTAAAAACATCTTTATAACACTATTTCATTAATCATAAATTCTAGTTATTTGTTTCTTTGATTGAGGGATTTCTTTTCTCTATTTAAGTTCCCAGTCCTCCTCAGTGCTGATGTTTACTAATTGTTTTGATTTCTCCCACAGCCTCCGAGTTAACTCAGCGTCTTCGGCAAACCATGAACTGTAGAATTCAGCACAGTCTCTGAAATGCTTCCCGCTCGAATTTTGGACTCTCGGATCCGTCGCTAAAAACACTGGCATGGTAGCAACCCTATCTAAATCTCTTCCCAATAACAACATGCCTGCATTAAAAACATTTCTTAGGGTCGTGTCGTTGAAATCTCTGAAGAACTCAGACTTACTCAGCCCTGGGTCCATACTGTACACGTTAACTCCACTGCCCTGTATCCGTTTGTTCATTTCAACTGTAAACAATATGTCTGCTAACTTTGAGTTGCAATACATTCCGAAGCTTGAAAATCTTCCAACATCATTCATATGATCGAGATCAATGTGACCCAGAAGCAGAGTTATAGACGATACATTCACGATTCTGCTCGGGGCTGATGTCCGTAATAAAGGGAATAGCAAGAAAGTTAACAGGAAGGCTCCGAAGTAGTTGACTTGCATCATCAGATTAAGTTTGTCCTTTGTTTGTCGATCTGGTAAGCCCAGGGCACCGATGTTGTTGATAAGTATATTTAATTTTGGTTCATTCATATATATTTCACTTGCAAATCTTCGTATGGATTTTAAGGAGCCAAAGTCGAGTTTCCTGGTTGAAATGTTCGTATTCCCAGAGCTTTGGATGATAGCGTTTTTTGCTTTTTCCATTTTGACAGGATTCCTGCTGCCTATGATGACTCTGGCTCCCCTTTTCGCAAAATTTTTGGCAACTTCAAACCCTATACCGGCCGTAGCCCCAGTAACGATGGCCACTTGTCCGTCCATAGGAACATTGTTCTCACAGTTCGTGAAATCGTCCTGGACACGCATCACGAGCGGAACGTGTTCACAGAGAGCAAAAATAACACTGACTTGTTTTATATAAGTTGTCCATAAGAAGTTTGGTGAGATTGTTAACTACGAACTAATCTAACTTTAAACATATTTAATGACGACAAAATATATGCTTAATAATGCAAATAAACCAGTTGTATTGAAACTAATATATTACTACTATGGGTTTTGTTACAAATATGTGGATAAATACACTTTTTTAACTGTATTAATTTAATTAAAATAGATTTTTATTTTCAGATATTTATTTTAAGTTTGTTAGTTTTACAAAGCATTTAATATTTTATTGGAAGTTTATGTTTGACTAATTATTATTTAAATCGAAGTCTTTGGATGATCTTAGAGATAATATTATGTGGATTTTATGAATATTTGGAGAAACTCCTTGAATAAGATAAGGAGGCTGAATTGAATTAACTGTAATATGGGAAATATATTCGGAAGTCTTCATTAATTTCGATATCAAGCAGGTAAATAAGTATCTATACATCCAAGGTAAAGTAAATCATTAGCGATTGTAACTTCACGGTCACACGATTTTTTAGTTCATTAATTGTTTTGTTGTCATCTTCATTATGCAAAAATATCTTTTAACTTTCAACTTAACCTAAATAAAATTTAAATACTTAAGTTATAATTGTATTTAATTCCTTTTTAGGTATATTTAGCGGTAGTAAAAAACTTATGTATATTTAATCAACCTTGACTTATGTGCCTAAATTTATCACGTGTTCAAGAAATCGTCTTAGTTTTATTGATATATGATTATCATAACATATTCATTAAAAACATTTGCCATTTTTTATATCCAAACATTAATCAGTGAAAAGTTTTTGTTTAACTTTTGTATGTTTATGGAGCTACTGTATAATTTATAGATGACCTTCGGAAACTGTTTGTAACAATCATTATAAAACTAAATTAACATAATAGAAGAAAAACAATTTGTTATTGAAATAAATCTTTTTATATCAATTATTAATATTTTTCATGTTTCCCGATCTTCACTTGTAGATATATTTACGATTTTTTTAGAAACATCCCACAATTCTCTTGTCAGATGTCTGTCATCAACCAACCAATGATTTATCCACTTTTTACAGAATTTATAATGCTCGCCACTAATTGTTTCAAACTGCGGATCGGATGCTAAGTAAGCGATTTCTCTTCCAACGTCTTCTTTGGGTTGTCCGACAATATCCACAAATAGTTGGGTTATATTTTTTAATAAACTTGGAAGATTATCCAATATATCAGTGTCTTTAACAACAAAGGGATCGTATGTGTTCACAGTCACCCCATATTCTTTAAGCCTTGCACTTAACTCTGCGCTAAACAGAGTGACTGCTAGTTTTGAGTTCGCCAGGACTTCTATGGGAGTGTATCGTTCAATATCATTCCACTGTTCGAAATCGATATGTCCGACGTACATTGACGACGCTGAACTATTAATTATTCCACTCGGTGCTGAGCTTTTCAACAGAGGCAGCAATAGATACGTCAATAGGAATGTACCAAAAAAATTGACTTGCATGGTAAGATTGAGGCCATCTTCCGTCAATCTGTCAGACAGTCCCACGGCCCCAGCGTTGTTCACTAAAATGTCTAATCTTTCTTCAGTGTTGATGGTGGCACTCACAAAACTCCTCACTGATTTTAAAGAAGCTAAGTCCAATAGCTTGTAAGACACATTTCTGTTCCCTGATATCTTTTCAATTTTGTCTCTAGCCCTCATCAATTTAGTTTCATTTCTGCTGGCTATGACGACGCGGGCTCCTTTGTTTGCCAAGTTTTTAGCTGTTTCATATCCAATTCCAGAGCTGCCTCCAGTAATGAGTGCGACCTTTCCATCTAGACGAACGTTTGTATCGCACATGACTTTTTAATATTGTCACAACAAAGTCAATCGAAAGACTAAAAGATACAGGAACTTTGTTATTCAATGCAAACTTGTTTATAATTGTTTTTACTACATGTGGACGCCATTGTCGTCTTAATTTATATTCTGACTGCGCCTAGAATGAATTACTTCGGTAGGTATTAATTCAATCAGTTTTTTCACCTTTGTTCGACACTACTATTTAACTTTATATTTAAATATACTACTAACATAATTAACTTTATATTCTCTCACGCTTCAAAAACGTTTAAGATGAACATAGATGGTTGGTGAATAGAACTGGAAGGTAAATATTCGATGGTCTAATTTTAATCGCCTTAATAAACGAAAGGAGTTCTCATTTCATGTAAACGTTTTAATTATTTTAGAGTCCACTTTTAATTTACTAATATATAAAAATTTTCTTAATTAGTTTTATTTAAAATATGATTAATGAAAATGTGTAATAAATAATACACAACACTATTTTACGCAGTTAGTTGATATATTTTTTTAACTACTTATCAATAAAATACAATTTATAATATGTTATATGTGTATGATTAATGTGCTCATCAAGTTAAATTGTTTCAAGAGTTTTCTCAACATAAATTCCACTCTATCAAAAAACAGTTAAGCCAATTTTAAATACGACTTAATTGTTATTAGTCATGGTGAATCGTCATTAGGTACAATGAAAATATAATAAAGTTTTAAGTTGTTTAATTTGATCCGTAATTTAAATTTTGTTTGTGTTTTGTTCGAAACTATAATGTGTGAAACTATAAATTGAAAAGAGAAATTAATGAATAAAAGTTATAACACCGTATATTACTACTTACTCCCTATAAGTTATAATAATTTGATAAGAATTTCCAATAGAAGGTTTAATACATCGTTAGGTTTCATTACCTAGATAGTTATAAAAATCTGTTATTTCTTTTACTATACAATATACAATATTTAGCACTAGGCGTGAATTTAGCCCAGGAATTATTTATTTATTATTAATACAAGTTTTTTTAAAAGTTTATGTACGTTTTCTAAACGCAGCTAAAATAAATCAATAAAATCGTGTTCTGAAATGCAAATTAGTGTATGATTTATATTTAATTATAAACTAGTTCATAGAAAAACCTACATTTTATATGTATTATAAATCAAGCTTTTATAATTCTTAATGAGTTTTAGTGATAATAATAATTCAACTTTCCAACACGTTCAGTTGTAGGAAGTAAATGTTTATTTATTTTTTTATTTAATTACTTAATACTTTTAACACACACGTAACCTTGCGAGTAAGATATTAATTTATGTTATTCAAGACTGATTAAATGAAACAATTATATTGATACAAACTATATTGATAATAAAAGTTAAGAACACATCAAAAACATCTATGTTACAGTATTTCTTATTAAATCTGCAGCTTTTTCCGCCATCGCGACGATAACTGAGTTTGGATACAACGATGTTGGCGAGGGAAACACACTCGCGTCCATTATACGGAGACCTTCCACGTCTTTGACACTGAAATATTAATATTAAAATATGGCTTAAATAAATTTCATTGAAATTAATCTCGCAAATTTTATTAATGACGAAATTTTTGACTTTCTACGCAGCCTTTAACTTCTGTTCTTTTGCTATAGAATTCGAAATCTACACATATGATAGTATAGTGAAGGGGGGTTTAAATGAATGAAAAACTATTAATGCTTCGTATTTAGTGTAAGGATGCAAACTTGTAGTAAGGCTACTGTTACACATGCTTATTTCAAGCACGAAAGCATGATTTAATTGAGCACGTGATGTTTACTCAATGTGTCTCAAAATGTTTCTTAAAACGAGCATGCTACTGGCAAAGCAGGTGCATGAAGGCGTGCTTTAAGCGCGTCTAAACACGTTTGCTTATTAATCATGCTAGTACCGATAGTCAATAGCAACAGATGAAACATCTTATTTAAAGCATGTGTAATAGTAGCCTAATACTTATACTTGTAATCTTGTGTGTACTGTGTAGTCTCCACTAACCGGAGCAGATCGTCGACAACCCTGCCCCCCGCGCAGGTCCCCCCCGCGTGGTGTCCCGTCACTCCTACCTCCCGTATGATACACTCCAGGTACGCGTCAGGGGGACTCCGAGGCTTCTGCTTTGGTATCTCCTTACGTGGCTTCTCTCCTGGTACTTTCATCCTATATGAGGATCATAAAAATCGTCAAATTTTACATTCAAAAAAATATGGCTTAAAATTTCTGTAACCGTAAATACTTTGGCCCGTAGATATAGAAAGATTATAATGCTTGCACACGATGAGACCAAAACGGTCTGCAACTGAAAAACTGAAACTAAATTTTTAGTCAAATAATAAAAATCAATTATATTTTTCCTTTTAATCATTTCGACATAAACACAACTAGTAGATTTCAATCAATAAGTAATAAAGTATTTCCTTACTTCTTTCTTCGTCTCAGTCCAAGTTGCTCCAACTTCGTGTAGGTCCACAAAGACAAGCACCGCTCTGATCTCGGCCAGTGGATTTTCGCTTCGATACTTTGGAATGCTTTAGTCGATACTAATCGTTCCGCTCGTCTTATCGCTACAAAGATACGTATGAATGTTATTGAACATTTTTTTACCCAAATATGACACCCTAAACACAAAGATGTACTCTTTGAATAAGTATTCACATGCCTCACCTTTGTAATCGTTCTTCAGTTTTTTCTTTCACTGAACTTGTTTACCTTACTTTCTAAAGGCTTTTAAAATATTTGAAATCAAAGATAAAATAATTAATTATGTATTAATGTTATCAAAAGAAAATCGTAAGAGTATTTGACCTCTTTAATATGAGAGCATTTTTTTCTCTTACCACTCGTATTTTGAAAATTCTTCAAGGTCTTATGTAATCTTGAATTCTTATAAAATGTAAAGTAATGAAATCATATTGCATATATAATATCATCACGATCATCATCATCATCATCAGCCTATCAGCCTATCAGCCTATCAACCTATCATAATATATATAATAATCACCTCTAATAATGCACCGTACATCATATTCTCGATGTAGGTAGTTGGGGTCAACTGCCGGCGGGACACTGGTGCTTGGGTCAGTGACTGTGACCTGACCACGACTCCGGGGTGACACACATGACGCCAACCACATGAAGCCTTCCTTACTGGTGTCGTTGTGGAACGGAAATGTTTCACGGAAAACCTACACAATTACGAATATAGCTTTATAATTACACTGATTGAAAAAAATATAGAAATGTGATTATATCTTCAAGTTGTTTTACTGTTGGTGTCTAGGATTTTAAGTAACATTGCCCTCCAGGGTTAAGATTTATAAAAAATAATATTATTATTCATTATTTAGGAACCTGGAACTGGGAACAGTATAAGAGAAGACCTACATATTCGTAAAAAAATCCTCATAACACACTATTATCAGCTCATATTTAAGTATGAAATATGATACATACCAGTAAATCCATTTAAGCCATATTTAAATTGTTCTAATCAAACTTAAGATCAGTGTGTATTATACCTGAGGCTTGTAGTTGGACAAGTCTCGTAACAATCTCTCACTGGACGATCCCATTGAGAACAGCATCAGAGCTGAAGAGTTACGATATTCAACACCAGCTACAGGAGGAAAAGCTAAGTAACCTAACAACAAAAATTAAACAAATAGTCACCATTTTTGTGTCAATTAAGGTCGATGTTTTAAACATGATAAAGATATTAAATCATTTAAATCTTCTTTACTTACCGCCCCCGTTCCAATAATAATTCCATAAGGTACTGGCACTAAATACTTTGGCCAAAGTGATACTGATAGGTTTCTTAATGCTGACATAGATTGGCACATTAAAATGATCGTGAAGGTTGCGACCCACGAACTCATTATCTGATATCAAGTCTAGCCTCAGCCTAAAAATAACAGGTATTTTATTACATTCATCATTGGCTTAGGAAAATATATATGTCAATTTTACCTCCTTATTAAATTCCTTGGTCCAATACCAGACAACATTAAGATTTGTGGCGTTTTAATGGCACCAGCGCTGAGTATTATTTCTTTGTTTACAAATATATTGTCCAGATTTCGATGGTCTTCCAAAATGTAAAGAGATGAAACTTTCTGATCCTCAAAACGTATCTACATGTACAATCAATAGATTCGTCTTTATTCAGATTAAATGAATACGTAAAGATGACTGCAAAAGATCTGAACAATATAACTTACTGATATTGCCTGTGTTTTAAGTAGGACATGTAGATTAGGTCTTTTGAGAGCTGGTTTCAAATACGCGCTGTATGTCTGATACCTTGTTCCGTCTTTAATGGATGCCGTGGCTCTTCTAAACAGGGTTGTTCTGTCAGAGAGACTCAATGAAGCTTGCTTGAAGATGTTCATCAGTTCGTTACTATCATCAACCATTTTCAGCTTCATCGGAGCCTTTATGAAATAAAACGACATAATATTTGAATACATTGGCATTAAAAAAATGGTTTATCATCAGAACTACAGCGTTATTGACAGTTGTTTAGATTAAGTTGTATTTAACAAAGTGTTAAGTTTTAATGAACTAATGTAAATACCTCCGAACATTGTCCTATGGGTGGACACATATCTGAGTCGAATTCACTTCTGTAGGTCCCGAAAGCTTTAATGAAATATGGTTTTAAGTTCTCCAACGTCCATCCTTTAAAGCCCAAGCGGGACCATCGGTTGTAGTCCTCGGGCAAACCAAATCCGTGAAGCAAGAAATTTATCTGTCCAGATCCACCTGGACCTTTGCCACGAGGGATTATTTGAGTCTATAATTTTTGATAACAGTTGAAAATACTATAAATGAGGATCGTTTTACACTATTTGAAGTATGTATAAGTGAAATACCCGATCAATGAGCCCAAAAGATGAATATTTCTGTGGTGTTGTTCGTACAGACCAATCATTAGGTCCTAGCTGTGCGGCGGTTGAGGTCAGTGGTATTTTAGTGAAATAACCCATGTGATCACCAGCTTCAATAAGTAACACTTTAACTTTTGGATCTTCAGACAGTCGGGAAGCCAGAACGCAGCCAGCGGTGCCGGCGCCGACTAAATAAATAAAAACTTGGCTAAAATTACTAGATGAATGAAGGAAAATTTCTAGTAATTTTATATAATATTAATAGGATCAGCTATAACATCGCAAAAACATTTGGACAATTCTCCAAGCATTTATTTCTGTAATTAAAATAAAACATCAATAAAAAGCGCCTTCTATTTTTACCAAGGCTAAAACATAGATCACGAACTTGTCCAGATTTTATTTGATTAAATAAATAACTGATAAATGATCATCACAAAAAGGCTACGTAATTAATATAACAGTGGGTCAGCACATGTTTTAATTAGCTCACCAATGATGTAATCATATCGCTTTTCGGGTTTCTGTACAAAGCTGATATTTACGTTGGCGTATTTCTGATACACGAGATAAGACACGCATACAACTAAAACACTAACAAACGATGTATACAGTGTCATCTTGATTGAAATCAAGCCATCACCACAGTTTATAGAACATTGACTGCTTTTACTGCTACGTGATCCACGCTTGCACTAATTGAATTAAATAGAGAACTGAAACCTTCTGGTTCAAAAATCTACTCGTATATATTTTAAATTACGTTTGTATTTTAGATGCAAATATAGCTATTATTTGAAACATATTCGTGTAACTAAATTAATAGGTTCATATTAATTAAATATAACATCAAGAATATTGGGATATCACAAAATAACATGCCGATACTCAAAATTATACAATTTCATTAATAGCAACAAGCTTTAAGTATTAAAATTATTAATGGTTTCGTAAATTGCAAAATGTTGAGCACTCCTGTAGGGAACCTAAGGGGATTACGGTATTATGGCGAAAATCGATACTTTATTTATACGAAGCAAACATTTCATACAAAACGTTTGCTAACTCTTCTACTATGAAAAACCGTATTTTTCGGACTTCGTTAAATAATAAAACAAGATAATCTTTATGAAACTGTTATTTAATTGACATAAAATATACACAAATTTTATGATGATGCAATAATTTGCAATGGATGATGCAAGTAACAAGTTCTCTGATACATAAATACATTTCTTTACATATGTAAGGGATAAAAAATACAAGTATGTATTGAATTCGTTTATTTTAATATTATTTCTAGATGTTTTCAATAATGATATCTATAATTCAATATCCCCTCCATCCTCAATCATTTCTCCAGTGGCTGGCACCATAACGGGTGCCTCGATCACTTGTTTCCGACCCTTAGCATCAACCACTTCAATGGTCTCGGGTTCAACCTCCATTTCTTCTTGCGCCTGTCTCTGTTTAAGCCCTGCTGCTGGGGATCTGGAAAAGACATTGCCAAATTAAAACTCAAATTCATAAAATTATGAAATGTTACAAAGATATAATAACAATGTATATTATGTTTTAGTTATAATTTAAATTTTCAAAGTGAATAAGTACATTGAGACAAAATTATTCTTCTAGCTGGCAATTTCCCAGCTTTAGCCAGTGTCTGCCTTACACGTAGTGAATAGTTTTGGCTAATTGTTTTTACGACTGGTCGCCTACCTGACATCAACCCTCTATATGGAATTATTATCCTAACATATTGTGCCAGATTTAGTTTCACAATAAATATATGAATGAAGACATCAAGTAACATTTCCATGAATTATATATGTATATTCATTAAAAATGTTTATAATTGATTGGATTTTTCATATTAATAGATTAACTAGTTAAGTTCTTGCACCATAATAATACACTATCTGGTATCTACGACTTTGTCTGTATAACTAAGAGTATTTATAAATATATATAAAAAGACATTTCTCAACATGTAATGATAATAAGTCACTTTGTTTATAGACTTTACCAACATATTATTAAATGTATTCATTATAATATTTTTTAATCAATATGCAGAGTCTAAACTCTAAGACAAATATTTTCAAATTCAAGGCAGATGTTTTCCATTGTAGGATGATTTACCTACAACTAATTTATATTCACATATATACAGGGTGACTGGTGAATTACTATCAATATTTAAGGAGAATACTCGGTACATGATTCTCATTCGAATTATGGAAAAAAAATGTTAATTTTTGACTAAATTTCCGTATAAATAAATAAAGTGTGGACATGTTCCAAGTGTGTGTGTGTGTGTGTGTGTGTGTATATACCTAATCTGTAGGGTGTTCACACGATGCGTAATTAATTACATAACTTTTGGTTAACTTTACTTAGAAGTTTATTAATATTTATGTTACATTAATTTTTATTTTGTCATATATGATCATCAAATATCACGTCCTCAAGTATCGATAGTAATTCACCAGTCACCCTGTATAAATATATAAATTGTGAGTAAACACATTCAATGTCAAGTAACATTTTAATCTGAATATTGTTAGATTTATAAAATTCTGCTTACTTTAACTTTTTCTTCAAGTTTTCAATAAACAGCTTCAGAAAAGAGATGAGTTATATTGTAATTTATTATAGGGAATGATTTTAAAATCTTGAGTCACTTTTATAAATATCAATAAATTAATTTTGTTTAATTTGTTAGTTGTTGTTTAGTTTATCTTTAAAATATCTAGAATATTATAATATACAGTAATACCCCGCTTAACGCAACCCCGTTGTGTTTCACTATAACGCTATTATCAAAAATTTATTTAGGTTGGGACATTGCAGAGTATAGACAATAATGATGACGGTGTCTTGAACGTGTGTCAAACGATTAAAAACAGTGTTTGGTGTTATGAACGTATTTTACAAGAATGTAAACAAAACGCTACCCAAAAGACAATACATGTATTTTTCGTAAAAGTTAGGAGTACCTATGTATTGTATAGTGTTCTTAGAATTAAAGTGATTGATTAAAATGATTTTTATATTTGTGTATTAAATTTTGACTGTGTTTAATCATAAACCTCGATATACGCGAATTTCAGTTAACGCGATTTTCTTCGGAACGTATCCCTCGCGTAAAGCGGGGTATTACTGTACATGTTATGTTATGAAATATCTCGTTACCTGATGAGTGATATATCTCTCTGTACTTCTCGTACATCTCTTTGCCACTCAACTTCACGGCCTTTCCTCAGTCGCTGCATGATATAGTTATTTGATCTCTTTTGTCTAATTTCTTCGACCTTTTTCATAGCTTCAATGGTTTTTGCCCATAATTCCCTGTTGTATTTCAATGGACTGTTTCGGCGTTTTTCGAACTCGAATGACGGGTCGATCGCCAATTCTTTGCCGGCAGTTTTACGGTACGCTTTGGTCCATTTGGTCTTACGTGGGTTCTTCTTCTTTTTGAACGCAGCATGGCACTTTGATCGACAAAATCTGAAAATCTAAATAAACACAGGTTGGTTGTATGTACGAGCTACAGATTCCAGATACAGCGTATCTGGAAGCTTCTTTCAATGTTTATATAAATTACCTTGCAGTCGTTTCTCACGAATTGAATGCCATGACCAGGATATATCCTGGATGAACAGAAATAACAAGTTTCAATACGCATTTTTACACGTGCTGTTTGGTTTGTTTGACAGCACGTCAAGAAAGAACTAATATGGCTGACATCTGACTTTAAGAAACTGTTGCCATTTTTTGGTTCGTAACAAAGTTTTACTTATATTTTTATCTATTTTTTTATTTGATTTGTAAATTTATTATTTTTTTTAAATTATGTATCATTGTTATAAAACAAACATATTTTAATGAGTGAGAGCCATCTTTTGGTGATTTATTTATTTTTGTCTAATCTATTCAACAATAGATGTCGCTTGTATCTCTACTGTGATATCGTTATAATATTCTAAGTAGTTAAACAAGTTTGAAGTTCGTAAGCCGAAATACCACAAAATAGATAGGTAATTTAACTTTTCAGTTGACTGCCCGATTTATAGCTTTCCTAAAATACCGGCATGTTTACACCGAACGTTGGTTGTTAAGTGTCTAATTACTTGAAGCAACTAAGTACACTTGATATAAGATATTTGTATTCTTCAAATAGACCGTTACAAATACTGTTACCTTATGGAGATAATTATGTAATATTGTGTAATGTTTCTCCTATATTTGGGTCTATTAAGGAGAGTGTCGGTAAATTTGAATGTACGTTGCTCACATGAATCGGTTTGTAAAAGTAACAATGTTTTAACCACACAGATGGGAGGAAGTAGAAATTAAATTGTTGTCTTGAGAACCACGAACAGTGTTAATTATTAAATTTGTACATTAGAGGGCTTTTTCTAGTCAAATACTTTTATAGAAAGCACATATATTAGGATGAGATGAATATTATATGTACTATATTAATTCGCACTATGTTGATTGTTGAATCTGTGAATAATTATTTTGACATAAACCATCATGGCTGAACAATATCACATTTGTTTCATTGATAGAATCACAATGCGAATATAAGTCACAATTAAACTCAAATCATATTCAAACTGAGCTGTTAGTGGGCTAATTCAAATGTTAATGAATCAGTGCCGGTGGTCCGATTAATGCATATGATAATATTATCTGCGACCGTGATATGTGAAGATCGTTTATCAAGAACTTATCTCCTGTGTTCTGTGATGTGAATTTTAATTAAATTATTCAATGTTAATATATAATATATTTATAATTAATGGCTATATTAATTATTTTTCTAATAGTATTTAGGTGAAATAATTTTACCGGATGTAATTTGGTTTTTATTTACGTAAATCTAAATGACCACACACAAGTGTCAATGAATGTGAATCAAGAGATTTCTTCGTTTGGTTTCTTTTTTATAAAGTAAAATAATAACGTATAAAGTTAAAGTAATAGTTGAATATTACATATTAATGTAATAATCTTGATATAAATTAGTATTACAAATATCAAAACTAGGTTTCCAGTCGAGCGACGTGGACGCACGGCTGAATGTAACTTAAACGGATGATGTGTTCAAACACATTCACTTGAATGATAGTGTAAAAGCAATTTAAATTTATATTATACGCTCGTGTAACTGGCGTGTGTATTACAATATATAGTAAATATGAAAACAGTTACGCTTCTTCTATTATTTTTAATTTATTAATTGTTATTTGTCAATTTTGAAGACTATTTTCGTCATTATCAACCTAATCTTTAGAGACAACTATATTAAAAGAAGATTGGATATAAAAAAATAGACAGAACCAAACTGCTTTATTCAATTTTGTAATTAATAATTCTGCCCCATTATTCCCACCCACGCATTTTAACTTCGCATATGATATAAGGTATTGTTTCTACCTTTTCCAAAATATCACTGCTATTGTGTTGTTGCTTGTTTACTATTAATTATTTAGTAGTAGTTAAGAAAAAGAAATTTCATTTAAGCGCTATAATCCTCTTTAGTGACGTTAGCATCCTGAGTTACCATTTACAAAAATAATAAGTGTTAATAGCTTCAAAAATACTATAAGTGTTCACACGAACAGCATTGAATGAGATCGGAATGAATGAGATCGATTTCCCACAAAACGGAATGCAGTATCGTTTCTCATTGCTGTTATTTACATTAAACATTCCGAGAGCGCTTCATGTTAATGTAATGCACTTTTTTTTTCTTTCGCAAAACTAAATATTATGCATGTAAAAATACGACTTGATCCGTCAATGTGACAAACAAGGTGACGAGCCCATCGGACGCCATTTGCATTTCAATTGACAGGTTTGATATAGATACATGTTTTGATTAATGTGGACATGGCATTACGGTCGTTAATGCGCTAGTTTTATAACTTAGAATCCTGTGAATTAATAATGTGGATGTATATATCCAGATGTACGTTAAAGAATTCGATTTGGGATGCATCTAAGATACAATGATCCGGAGGCGCCGTCTGAAATATGTATCTGCTCACGCCAAATAACGGATTACCGCTCACATGAATATTGGATGTACACACAGTGATGCCTGCTACAATGACACATTAAGTTATTGTGTCCGCTGAGAGAGTGACTTGGGAATTACATACGACCTGCTTGTACAAGGACTATTAAAATAGTACTTATTATATCTTTGAAACGAACTAAATTTCTTAATTTTTTTTTGTCTAAAGAAGTTTTTTTTTAATGAAAATCAATTATAGAGCTATTAACGTTATATTTTATAGTTGTTTTTTTTTTCATTTAACGTACGACGTTTTACTATTTATCCCGGGAGCAGAAAGGGAGCAGAAAATAACATTTCAGCTTTGGCTCGAATTAACTAACTGAAAAATAAATTTACACTAAATGTATAGGGCCTGAAAAGTATGTTTATTTCATTACAGTTATTCGATTTAAGTGCTTTTAATCGAATAATTCAACGAAAATTATAAGTTAAGCGCCGAAGATCTGCTAAGGTTTCATTTTCAACGTGGTTTTTAAAAACAAACACGAAATTTATTTATCACATTTTTCATCATTATTTTTTTGATATTCTATGGGTTGGTAAAAAATTATGCAAACTTAGTGAAACTCAATAAAAAAAGATGAACAGTCTTTAACATTTTTATATTTTTTAAGTATTTGTATAAGATTAGTTTAATTCAATAAATACTTAGTGGAACTATCTAGATTCTAGTAGTATACCTTCAACTGATTATTACCAACATTTTACGTTTAAAAAGCCTGTTTAATATACATGTTTAAATATAATCCAAAAATATTTAAATCACAGTACAATTATTCATAGTATCCACGAGTACAAAGGAAAGTAAGTGGTCTCGTTAAGGGGCTGATTTGTAACAAAACAGTGCATTACGGTGCGCGCGGCATTAGTTGATTTGAACGCATTCTGAAGTAGCGTTAGAATACACTTTACATATGACGATACGGACAGAACCTGGAAACAAAACTATGTATAGGAAACCCAAACATTTTACTTCTTACTAGTAATGAGTTTAGTGTAGCTATTAAATATATTGTATGGAAGTAAATTAATAGAGTCTAATTTAAACGTCACGATATGTCGTGTAGTATCCGTGTCGTATGGTCTAAAGGATACTGTAATCTGTAAACGCATAATTTATGATTGTACATGCGTCATTAACCGCAAGGAGCAGGAGGGATCTCCTTCACTTTCTAAACGTTTGCCGACACTACTCATAGCAATGGAGTAAGTTTCAGACTAGTTCATGACAGATGAAGAAAATATTTGGCATATTAATATATTAAAAGTCAGTGGTGGCGTAGTGGTTGAAGCCCGGCCTATCATGCATGAGGGCGCGGGTTCGCTCCTGGCAGGTACCAATGTGATTTTTCCGAGTCATATGTACTTTCGAAGAGTATTTAGACATCACTGATTAATGCATTCCCAAAGATTTTTGATGTCAGGCAGGTGGTCGGTCGTAATACCAATGTGATTTTTCCGAGTCATATGTACTTTCGAAGAGTATTTAGACATCACTGATTAATGCATTCCCAAAGATTGTTGATATCAGGCAGGCGGCCGGTCGTAAAAACAATTAGCCAAAACTATTCACAACATGTAAGGCAGTCTCTGGCTAAAGCTGGGAAATTGCCAGGTAGAAGAAGAAGATTAAAAATACTAGTGGAGCGTTTTGTTTGCGTAAATAATAAGTCGAGATGATATATTTATTTCTGGTTTAATAATATTTATTAATAAAAAAAAGCTTTACAAAACATATAGGAGTTTTCTTATGTTCCTTCTCAAATATATTTAATGCCAGCCACTAATCAGATACTTGAGATTCTATATAATTTGTAACAGTAAAACTAAAAACATCCAATGATTTATGTGTATATTAATGCGTAATATAATTTCATTGCCAAGTGTTCCTGTATGAGTGTTATTGCTATTTAATAGTTTACAATCTATTAAAAATCAATATCGTAAAAAGCTGTGGCTATGTTTAATATATATTTTATTATTTACTATAGTTTTTACATGGTTTTCCCTGTTTTTGTTTAACAATATATAACATTACCTACCTATTATATATTATAATTACTATTGTTGTTTACAATTAACAAACGTACTCCTGTTTGTTTTACTTATCTGTGCTTGCAAGGATTATAACACACTCACACACACACACACACACACACATATATATATATATATATATATATATATATATATATATATATATATATATGTGTGTTTTAATAATAATGAATTGTATCAGAAGTTCTTTGCGAGATATATTTTTCCAAATAAAAAGATACATAATTGTTTATATGTCTTACATATCCTATAAATGTATATTTTTTGTTCGACATCATATATAATGAAAGTCGCGTTTGTATGAACATAAGTTTTGAAAGCTATTACAATAAATTCATATGTTTATTTATACATCACGCAGGGCTGGCAACATTTCAATATTATATATAACAATTACGTAGAGAATATATAAAAAATAATTTATATTAAAGAATAAAAAATTATAATGAAGAATTTAGGTAAAAGTTGTTTAATTTCATTATTTTTATTTAGACGATAAACTGCTAATTGGTTCTTTAATAATAAATAAATGAAAT